AAAATAATTAGAAGCGCGTGAGAATGATGATGACGCGCGTAAGGTATCCCAACTGCAAAGTCTGGGTGTTTTACACGAGCGTACACGAATTCACGTGTGCGTTTATTTGGCCAAAAAAGGGAAAATAAAACTAAAACTGCAGTCATTTAAAGCGCTTGAACAAAATAAATCAACCGTCATGAAATTCATTCGGCTCGGAGCATAGCAACACCCTTCGTTTTTTGCACGGGCACACACATGTGCATGCATATACACCGAACGAGAAAGAGAGAGACGATAACGCTGCCGCTGACGGCAAAACTGTAAGTAAATGACGAAGCGCCACTGGTATCGTTGATGCTTTTTCGCGCATATAAGCCGCTGAGCGGCGATGAGTTTTAAAACAAACTCTCATTTTAGGTTGCGAGCGATGATAATGATTTCGTGCCTCATGAAATACACATCTTTTGCGCATCAACCACACACACATACACATGCACACACATGTGCCCAACGCTCCTATATATAAAATGCTGGCGCGCGCGCGTCTTTGATTCGAGAAGTTTTCTCGAGAAATTAGTATTGCAGTATATGTGTGTACGATCGCGTGCAATACAAAGTCCCGCGCAGAAAATAAAGCGTGTTTTAGTGATAAGAAAGTCACCGCCGCAACGCTACAAGCATACAGCCTCGCGTCCTATGATGCACACATGTGCAATACTGACGAAAGCGTCAGTAGGTTTACCCGTTTCGGTAGCGAATCGTGCCTACTTCTGTTTCTTTTTAATACGAGTCCCATTGAATTTCTACATGAGCGGCCTTTAAAAAAAAGTCTGTCAAATAGTATTCACACTTATTGTTTAGGTTTCATTGACTCGCTTAATAGGAAATCATCTCCCAAGAGACCCAGAAAAATGTCTTTGGAAGGAAAAGTAATCGAATGACTAGTCAATTTTTAAAATTTTTGTCAATCATATGCAAATATCGAAAGCGATATATGCTCGATGAATCCGATCTTGGTCGAAATATTACTTCCGTATTCTGCATATGTAACATAATACGAAAATTTTCCCGGAAACCAGGTGATCAACATAGATCATTGTTCATTATTACGCGCGTCGATAATTAATTTTTACCTGTCGTAATTTTTCGACACTTCTCTGTACCAGGTACAATTCATGTAAGCTTCGCTCGTACGTGCTACCGATATTATTATTTTGGATTAAAAAAAAAATTGTCATTCGATTTGTTTTTTTATCTCGTGTACAAAAGCCACATTTAAATCTTTACGTATCCACACAGAAGCTTCAAATGTGAAAATCATTAGTGAAAGTGTCAGCTTAGAACGAAGAGAAGGTGGGCGCGTGCCGGCGTTCACTTTTACTACATGAATGCATTATTTAGAGATTTATTGCGTATCGATGCTTAGTGGCTACGGTCGTTAGTAGGCGACATTGTACGCGCGACATGTCTCAGCTTCCTAATGATTGTAAGTTAAGCGTTTCAAGTAGTTTCTGTATAGAGAAAGTAATAGGTCGTTAGGGAAAACAAACGAGTGTTAATTTACGAAAATACAAAGCCGGATGCACGAGATGATCGATTGATCATCCTCTTGCAGGCATTCAGATGTGCTCCATAGCGCCGAAGCGAGCGGTGTCACTGTATACATCAACTATATAGCCACGAGCGCTGCGACAGTGGGTGGTGCCTGTGCTCATGTACCTTTTGTCATTGCGGCTATGACGTCACTCGGTATTGTCACTCGTCGCTCGCTGATTGGTGGACGCGCTTGGCGACATCGCGACGGGAAGGGAGCGTCTCTTCGTAACGCTATACGCTCGAGCTGCGACACACATAGCCTAGAGTGTACATACCAGGTGCGTTTGACATGTACCGAGCGAGTGAAAGAGAGAGAGATCGAGTGCCGTGCGTGGCGGCCTATTGTTGTTGACGCTTCAGGGGCGGTGGCATACGCACTTACATATATCGAGCTCTCGCAACACAGGGGCAGGAGTCTGCGTACTGCCTGCGTATATATCTCTCTGTGAGTTTGTGCGTTATAATAAGCCCCAACTGCCGCCTGCTGCATACACGCACGCATCCATGTGACCTGCAACTCGCTATTTCTCCGGAGACACGCGAGCGCGCGTATATGTGTGTGCGATCTTCCGCGTTGGGGGATGATGCGACCGGAGAGAAATGCGACCATTATGCATTATGGTTGGTAGCGAGAGAGAAAGATAGACGGTAAGGCAGCGATGATGGCGGTAAGCTGATCTATGTACGAACGTTACGTATGGTACACGCGATGAAGAGTCGGCCCCGTGTGCGCAAACCGCTCCACTACGTCTCTCTTATACGTGTTTGTGCCTATACGTATGTTTAGATAACGACAGCACGCACATTATATTTAATATACACTGCCCTACACCAAACTTATAGCTCCTACTATATGTATACAGGCAATTTTCTCCATGGGGTAAGACGAAAGCCTGAGAGAAAAATCTATACGTTCGATATAGCCGTGTATACGTACTTATATTATAGAAGCGTCGAGATGCTTTTACGCTATTAAGAACATCGAGTAGCGAGTAAATATATGCCTTGCTCGTTACTAGCTCTCGTTTTTCGCACTCGAATTCGCAAATGGAAATCGACAAAGTTTGGATGCGTACCATATATATTACACGCTCGCTGCTCTCGGTCGGCGCGCAAGCGTAGGAAAACAATTATTAATTATTTTAGCCGCGTTGATGCACCCACATTGCCTATATATTTATAACAGCAGTATACCGTATTTAGGTATCGAATAATAATAAGAAGGGGAAAAAAGAGGGCGAAAGAGTCCTGAAACCGCGAAAACTGACAACGCATGTTCGCAACATACTGTTACACTTACGCGCTATTTTGTATCGGGAGGGATGGTATACGCGCAAGAGAGAGAGAAAAAAAAAACACAGACGCGGAAAAATGTACGGCGATGCGGCAGTCACGCGAACCGTATATGGATCAAAGCAGAGTTTCATAAACGTTATTATATTATATTATGATCTTACGACGTTTTCAGCTCCAGGAAACTCGAAGAAGAGACGGTATGAAGTGCATCGTATAATAGAATTGGACCTATAACGCGGTACAAGAGCGAGCCTCGGTCCCCATGCGCCGTGTACAATGTACACACATGCGTGGAATAATAACAATCATAACAATAATAATAGGACGAGCGGCAAAATTAAGCGAGGGACCGGCGGAGCGGGAGAGAGAAAAAATCCCAAGTACAAAGGACAAATAAGAATGCAGGATGGAGACAGAAGCTGATCTAAATGGATGATGCCATATTATACTTACTGCGCGTACTTTTAATTTCAAGAGAAGGAAGGATCGAGAGAGTGTGTGTGTGTGTGCGCGCGTGTGCGAGTGGATCGCACACATACCCATCGCTTTTGTGCCACGAGAGACGCTTCAGCGGCAGCATCGACGAGCACAGCCACGGAGCAGCGGCAGCAGCCTCGCGTCCTAATGAAAGATGGCTCGGGTGAGCTCCCGCTTAACTAGTTTTGTCCGTCTGTATATTATCCACTCTCGGCGCGGCTTTCCCATGCGAAATAAAATATCACTAATCACTCGGTCGGTCTCGTGCGTGTGCGGCCTCTCTCTCTCTCGTCTATGCGCGTATCGGCGTTGTTCGCATGCATATAACATACTTTGGAGCCTGGTAAGTAAGTACCTTACCACTTGCCCCTTCTATGCGAGTATTACTGTCAGCCCCGTTACAAATAGCAAAAGTGCAATATCTGGGGGGTGGATTCGAGGCGTGCAATGTCCCAAGCTGACGTTGTACGCTCGGCTCCTCGATGATTTGGCAATGTTGACGATTCTGTGTGTATGCGGCCACGCGCTTCGAGCAACAGCAGCTCTGTACAGGGCCACCCCCTTCGTACGGTATTTTTTTTATATGCCGTATTTGCCACGAGAAGAGAAAACGAAAGAGAGAAAAAGTGAGCCGCGTGCCAAACGCCATTTCGATCTCTTGTGCATATAAACATACGCACACACACACACAAGCAAGCATCTCCATCGTCTAGCTTACAGTATTTCCATAGCATGGCTACTTCAACTTTTATTAATTTAGATTGGTTATCAAGTTTGCTCATTCGAACTGCTTGGGATTTTTCGCCCGTCTACATCCGAAAAAGTAAGAACGCACGTATCCCTTCGCTCGTGTACACGGCTTGTGGTCTTATTATATTGGTTGCTACTTCTCTCATATATATATCCATTAATATGCGCGTATACGTAACCACAATCTATTGTCGCACGTATTATTTATCAAGCCGAGAGCTGCTGCATACCGTGTACGTACGTACATATGCATTCGAACGATACGACGAAACACGTCAATTACAAGTGTAATATAGCATGTTGTTGCACAGCCCACGGAGAAACGTCGATAGCGATGAAGTAGCTCGAGCGTAATATATGTATCTGTGTACGCGCGACTACGTGTGTAGTATCTAATAATTTTTCGCAAAAACATCGATTTAGCCGTAAATATGCCTGGGACATTCATAAATAATGAAGACAGTATCACTTTGTTTCTGCGGTCATTATTTTATGCACGCACGCGTGCAACTACTTACGTTATAACATATCTATGTAAAATATTATCGCTTCGAAGTACGAACGTACGTCACTATCGTCTGCCACTTTGTCATATTATCGCTTTTATGGCTTTTCTTTCCACAAGAGATGCGATAAATTAATGTAACGATTCACAATTTGATCTGATGTAAACTGCCGCGCGAAAGAGAGTACATTTTTGAACAATTTAAAAACCATTTAGCAAAAATATAGTTGAGGGACCAATTTTAACATTACGCGACATTAATTACTTTAATTCATTCGAATATCGTGTTCAACATAATATTCAAACTTCATTTTCAATGGTTAGTATTTGTATTGTAATTGTAGGTATTCTATAGTAGTTTCTTTTAGGCAATTTAAATGAAAAATTTTGTGAATATTATATCAATAAATAATTATTATTTACAGAGATCATCGCTTACAAAAGTTTACTATCTATATAGCTTCGATAAGCCGATAGTATGTTATGTTTGTTTATATTTCAACAAATTTGAAAATTTAACGATTAAACCAGTATCCAATCACTGGCCACGACGTTCGATTCATTGTTCGATGCATTGGTCACGTTGTAAATAAATCGATACTTAGGTCGATTTAAGTGATACTGTTCCCGATCCGCCGTTAGTACGAAAATAAGGGTAAATAAGAGAAGACATATCACAAAAATGGCCGAGCCGTATATAGCGCATCTAACGTCTTGTCTCTCGTTCCAACTGTAACATTAAATTCAATTTTTTACGTTTTGAACACTACTCAAATAACTTGCTTAAAAAAATTATTTTTAATTTACCTGGAAGTACACTTTGCACACATTGACTCCTCTTCTGGAAATTCTGATTCATTCTATTATTTATAAAATAAAAAGAAGAAAGGATAAATTAAAGAAAAAAAATGTAAAAAGAAAAAAGAACTTATGAGCAAATAATTTTCAAATAAAGAATTTTGCTACTTACCCATGAATCATTATTGTAGTCGTAAAAGTCTGAAGATTGCTCCACTGTCGGGTTGGACGGTTGCTGGAATGTCACCCTGGCTGGCGATTTAATTTCAACGCGCGCTTCAGAAATATCTACTTCTTCAGATGAAAGGCATATAATTTCATCTTCGTTGTTTGGTAAAATACTTGGTACGCGGTCTGCTTCAGGAGCTTCTGCTAGTGTGGATAAAATCAATGCAACCTCCTTTTCACCATCTGATGAATTTTCTGTTACGTCATCTACTTGAGGATCTTGTACTTGCTTGGAGGAAATCAGTGGAACCGCATCCATAACGTTTGACGAAATTTCTAGTGCACTTTGTGCTGGAGAAATTCTTTTTTGTTTAGATAAAATCGATTTAATTTCATTTTTGCCGTTCGTAGAAAGGTTTTGTAGATTATGGCGAATTTCGAAGTTTGGAGCACTCCTCTGAGTTTCACTATCCTCAGTATCTTGTATCTTGGGGAAGAATCTTGAGGCTTTAAATAGCGGAATGTCTGAAGACTTCGAAAGTAGTTGCATGAATTTGGAACGAAATTGATTTCCAATCTCAGAAACATAGGATCCTCCTCCAGTCTTGGAATATGTGGCCGACAAATTTGGCATATAAATGTTGCATTCATATTCAGAATCAATATGTTCCAAACTATTCAAGATATCCTTAGAAGGAGTAGATACATCATTGCAACTATCAAAAGAACTTTTTGTGACATCAGGCAGAGACTTTGCACTTAAAAAATCGCGCTGAGTTTCGTTCTTAAAGTACTTGGAGGCTTTAAAAATCGGAACTTCCATTTCAGGCTTGGACAGTAGATTCATAGATTGAAATACGGATTTTTTCGGCTTCTTAGAAGCAGACCGTTTATCTTTGGATTTGGAATTGAATGCCGAAGAGTCTGAAGTATTGAAGATGCATTCTTTTCGAGAGTCACTAGATTCTGATTTATCCTGAGAAGAGATTGGTAAATCCTTGAATATTTGAACTTCCAACACTTCAGGATTTTGATTATCATTACAAACGTAACTTGTTTTTTCCAGAATTTTAGACTTTGGTGCATATCGAATTAATAATTTTGGAATTTCTTGCGGAGGTACCCAAGACAAGGTAATACCACTCAATACTAGATGTTCATCTTCAAATTCGCTCTCCGATGAAAAATCTTGAATTATAATTTGAGGCATTTCATGCGACGGACTATCATAATGATCTATGATAGGTCTGTCATCCGGTATGTGAAATTTGTGTTTAGATATATTAACAATGGAAAAATCCTGAATAACAATCTTGGGTAAATCGTTGGTGAACGAAAAATCCTGAACTACAATTAATGGGACCTTGCATGAAAAACTTTCGTAGTATTCTATTACAGGTTTGGCCTCTAGTTCATCATTGCATTCAGAAGTATCCTGAATTTTAATTATAGGTACCTGACGTTGCGAGCGTTTCATCGTTTTTTCTACCACAGATGGTAAATTTACTTGAACTCGAGGTTCGTTGCTTGGCGAACAGTTTTCGAGTTCAATAATTTTAGACACTGGTAGGTCTTCTTGAGCCATTTTTTCGAAGACAAAACAATGGAAATGTTTCAAAAACTAATTAATTTTATCGTCCCTTTTCGTCTTTACATCTGAACGACGGAGTCAGTACTAAATTTTGATTTCTATAGTCCATTTGACGACATAAATAAGCCTGATCGATTGTTGACATTATTATTAAGAAGGGATATGTATAATAACACTATAACTTATTTTCTCATGGTCTATTACAAACAGTCAAGTATCGTTACAAGAAAATCTACGAAGATTTATTTTATATTTTACTCACAAATAACGTATTTAAAGCTACTGAAAATAAAGTTGAAAATATTTTGAAAGGCTAATTTTAATGTAAACATGGAGCAAGGAAGCAAGTTGACTCTTTTTCCGAAATTAAACACAATCATTTTACTAATGATAATTTATAAATAAATTAATTTAACAAAAAGTTTTAAAAAACGTCGTACTGACATATCATCGTTTTAAAAGAGTAACGCAATAAACACGTCGCAAAAAACTCCATGAACTCTATATTTCTGTACGCTAAAACTGCTATTGCCGTGAAAAACGGAAACGCCCAACTATATACGAAATAAGAGAGAAAGAGAAAAAGAGAGACTGCAAAGGAGGAGAGGGAGCAGCAAGAACAGTCACAAGTGCTCTTAAAGCGACAACTTTTATGATGGTCGCTTTCCTGTGTTATAAATGTCGCTCCCATGAAAAAAAGCACACACATTTCTCTCTTTTAGAAGCAGCAACAAACGCATATACACACGCTCACACCGACATATACTTATAAATGTAGAAGCAAAGCAACCCTTTTGTCTTTTCTGCGCGCTTATATAGCCACTTCAGTCCCTACCCTTTTTTATCCTAGTCGTCTTCGTGTGCACAAGGCAGAGAGTAGGTATATATGTATACAAGTCCAGCAAACGAGAGAAAGAGCTTATAAAGGGCACAATAGGGGTTGGTGTGCGACTGGCCTATTTGCACAGTAGAGGGGGCATTTGTACACTCGGGTACGTTATAAGTATGCGTCTATGTGTGCGTGTGTGTATGTATAAAGCCGGTGGACAAGCCCCCAAACTATTGTCTACTCGAGCACCCCCTCACTGTCTTCCGATAGCCAATCGTCATCGTTGCTGTCACATGTCGCGCTCTCGGCTATTGTGTATACAAATGCAAAAGGAAAGAAAAAAAATGCCCAAATGGCCAGAGGAGAAATACAACGAAATAGGCGGGGAGCAAAGAGAGAACGAGAGCAAGAGCAAGTAAGCAAGCGAGCGAGCGAGCGAGTCTGCTGCATGTGCTCATTTCAAATATGGTCGACTCGAGAGTATTGCCCTGCATAATACATAAGGCTCAGCCGAACGAGTAATAATAAGGAAAAAAAGGACAGCTTAACTTTATATACACAAACAGCACTCTACGCGCGGAGAGAAAGAGCGCGAGTCGCTCGTAATAATCAATCAAGCGATTCGCTCTTTTATTTCAACCCGTACCGAGACATTGTTTTCGAGTACTAGAGCTTTGGCTTTTTATGAAAGGGATGGATTTTTAATGAAAAAACCTATTGTTCTGATAACACCACGGAAAAATGTTACAGCTTTAACTGTACGTAAAATAGAAATTTAATGACAAGATTGTTTATTAAATTATTTTGTATTCGATATTGCTTATTTTATACTATAAAAAGATCAATTTGTTTAAAATATTCCTTTAATTTATTATTCAAGCATTGGAAAAAAGGTTGTAAGTCTCAACCAAATGCGGCCAATTAAAAAAAATGCAACTGTTAGTCTTGAAATTTTTTGAAAAATATTGTTATACAAAAGTACAATGTTTCACCGTAATTATTAATTGAATAAATAGAATAAAAACTTCACTATTTCAACATAATTTCTAATGATAAATTGTGTCTGTACGATTTTGAATAAACAATTACATAAAATTTTCATGTGTTCTGTTCATGAAAAAATATTAAATTTGGTTATTTCCATGTTGGAAGATCTGATTATTTTATTTGATCAAAATTCGCATTTCACTGCATCCCCCTTCGAGATTTCCAAACATCCTTACATACTTGCAAGGCTTTTCGCACAACAAAATATCGCTTTTGATTGTATTTGAAATAATTTATAAAGTTAACTATCAGCATTTTATGCGCAATGTATTATTTATTTCAAATCATCATTAACTTGATTAAAAATGATTAATCCTTTAATTTTCAGATCTATCGGAGAACAAGCGTGAATCGATTGTTCTTATAGGCTCCAAGCACAAGCACAGACGTGCAATAATCACCTGTCACTGAAATATTAGAAAAATTAACTGAAACATTTAACTGCAAAGTGGTATAATGATACACTGCGAATAAAACAAAAAGCACCTGGCGCGTGGAATCTATATCCTTCGGCAAATAACATAATCGCTCCGCGCGGAACGATACTTGGCTATATAAACGTGAGCGTCGAAAAATTATAATAGGATACATATACACTGCAATATTGTCGGCCAACGTTATATGTGGAACGTAAAAGCTCTCGGCGCAAAAGGTGCGCGCGACGAGCGCCCACACGTATACGCACATACTCGCACACACGCTTACGCGCAGCTCGCCTTATATTATCCCGTACATACACTGCACACGTTTTTCCAGAGGGTGGCTCGACTCCGAGTATATCATATCATCGTATAATAGTTGTTTCAAGCGACCATCAAGCGAGACGGGGAGGACAACGGAAACGATGTAAACGCGCTCTCTTTCGCAAAATAACGACCCACGCGTGTCATCTTTCCGGTACGGTCGCGTATAGTTGTCGTTAACGCCGAGTCCCCGTGAGCTCGCCTCGTGGTGGATATTATATACGCACACGTATAAATATACCAGTGAAATGTATACCGCACTGAAGTCCGCGAACGTACTCGTATGACGTACGAAAGCTCCGCGGCAATTTTATTGTACTAAGAATTTTTCTAGACGTTCTCTGCATTTTGGGTTTTATGTCTTTACTTCTGAGTGGCCAAAAATGACTTGATGGTTTGATATGTCTAGTGAAAATCATTTCGATTTCTAATTTCAAATTTTAGCACTTGACTATAAATAAGAATTCAATAAATAAGAAACTCTCTTATTTATTGATTTGTTGGTTATTCTTTTTTGTTACAGTTAAATTGCTCGGAACTTACTGACTTATGTTGTTATGTATGATTATCAATTTTTATTATTCACCGAGTAGAAAAACAAAGCAATTATTCCAAAACCCTAAAAGTCAGTTAAGTTTTTAATAAATAAAAAATACAAAAAAAAACTATCCAGGCTAATTTTTTAGCTTTGAATGATTTATTCATGAGTTTATTCTATCAAACCTAATTAACGTCAGACTGTTTTTGCTCGACGTCGAAAGAAATCGATCGAAAAGTACAAGAAAAGCGTCAAAGATCATTTTAAAAAATTCTTTTTCAAATTCAAAGTAAGCATTAAATATCAATTAAAAAGTTTGCGTTCTCAGTCATTATTCTCAACTGATGTTTTTATTAAAAATGTACCAGGTGTCTCAATTTTTCTCTCTGGAAATGTCCAAACTCCCCGTATACGCCTCTAGCCGGTAAAAGAGTTGAACCAATGGAGTATAACCGATGTGTATAATATAATAAACTCGCACACGAACGTAATGCACACAGAAATTATCCCTTTGTTTCGTTGCTAAAAGCGGAAGCGTATAATATACTTGTGAATTGGCGTACGCGTGCCTCGTCGCATAATATGTTTGAGCCCCGACACACACATCGTCGTTGCAATGTATACAAGACTCAATGATTATCGACAAACCGCAAGCGGACAAGTCGCCTGTCATCGTTCCGCCGAAATTTTCAACTTTATACGGTATTACTACGTATGGAGTCTTTGGAAAAAAATCATCGCCATATGATGAGCGAGCGTAGGCGATGACCGATGCACTGTATGTTATAATACGCGCGTGGCACACGCGACATCTGTGACGTCGATCACGTGTCTTTGACCTCTCGCTGCAGCCGACCGGCTCTATGCAAGCCCGAGAGACTTTTTGGGACTGCGAACTGTGCTGCCAACAACACTGGCATCTGGCAAGTGTGTAACATACGCCTTACCTGCCTCTTTCGTAATGAAGATCAATTTTGACATTCTCGAAATGTCAGCTTGAAAGTATAGTCCTGGCCGCGCGTTGGATGCTGGACTTGTGATCGACTTAAATTGGATTTGCGAACGTGACCGGTGCTTTGAGAGCGACAGACGCCTTAGAAAGCTCGCTTACAAAACCGAGTAGAAGTTTGGCTTGGTTTCGGCGGTAAAAATATTTTAACGAGTATCGCAGTGCGCGCGCGTAGCAAACGTTTTTTTTATTAACTTACGTTCTAGCAATGCTAAGTTATGGCGTCATAAATTTGAAAGGCCGAATCAGTTCAGATATACTTAAAAGATAAATATAGACGCAATTAACAGTTTTTATGTTGCATTGTTATTAGGCGAATGGAGGTTTTGGACTTTTGGCGAAGGCGTACCTGGAAATTATTTACGCTTATGCACAATACCTTCGAAAAACGGACCTCGGCTATAATTAAATACTCATTACTCGAATGACAACTTACTCGCTCGGTCAAGCTATCTAATTTTCAAGAGTGCGAATAATGTTTGATTCGTCGAAATTATAACAAGCGTCAATGTGAGTTTCTGCAGTAAAAAAATAACAATGATCATCTCGAGGTAAAATTCAAGGAATCATGCGTTTTAAAAGGGAGCTCATAAATACACGACGATGTATATTCATTGGCTAATTTTCATATTCGAGACATTCTTCATATAATCACCAAATTAAACGGGCAAAATGACAGTTTTTAGTATCACGATGAGTTAATAACTCACATTTTTTCATCGAGATTATTAAAAGTCGAGCGTGTATACACAGGCGTGTATGCGCTTGTGCGTATGCGTGTGCGTGCGCGCATATAAAACTTCACAATTCATAAAAACCACAGAGGAGCGAAACCCGTTCGCAGGGTCCTTTCGCAACTTTGCAAATTGAAAGAAGCCCGAAGAGAGAAAGAGAGAAAGAGAGAGCAGAGAGAGGCAAGGGCAGGAGCATCATCCCA